CTTCTTGAATTTGGCATTAGAAAGTTCCGAGATTAGTTGAAAATGTTTTTTCTATCGGGGCACAACTGGTAAGGTCGGACCCATTGATTAACCAAATTGTTCGTACCTGTTCTTTGGTAAAATTATGTTGAATGCGTATGTCTTGTCTTTGTACAACAAAGACAACACTTGCGCGTCATCGTCTTCTGCGTAGAGCCTATGAGTATTTGCTTGTCTCATGTACTCCACCTAAAAGGTGTCATATAGGCCAAAACAATGCTTCTCTCAAAACTTTAACCTCGCGTTCCCTGTCTGGCGCACTGTAGAATTTGCCAGTGCTATTGTAGCAATTTCTAAATTTGACATCCCATTCTGCTTTGAAGTATATGGCATTGATAATGATCGAGATTGCGTCTGAAGTATATAGAAGAAAAAATAGTAACAATCACAGAAAACCAAACATTACCTTGTAAAGCATTAGCCTTGACAATTTCCCTGATTTTTCCTTCTGTACTCTCATCCACGAAGTCGTTGATGACCTTGAATGTAGGAAAAAAAAGAAAAGTAAACAAAAAGACAAACAGAGTCAGACAGCTTTTTACCAAGGTCAAATGAAGTGATATCAAGCATTACCTTAGCAGCTTCATTTGCTCGGCTGAAATCATGAGATTCAAGCTTTGCGCAGAACTTCTTGGTAATTTTGTCAGCATAATCGTCTTTGATCTCAACACCATTCCTAGAATGCTCTACATGAGCAGTTCAGCAGTTGTGAAGTACTAATTATAAACTCAATAATTTTTCTTACCGATTCATATGATATAGTATTAGATTGGAAAGAAAAGAATGTTGCTTTTTAATTCCTCGTACCTCAAAGACATACTAGGGTGAGTCAAAAGTAGTGAGAACTTCGCATCTCATCTTAGACTTATTCTCAAATTAGGTGGAATTTAGACAGGCAAGTGCTCTGAACCGTTTCTGACGCAGCTTTTCTTTCTCTTTCGAAAGGCTATAATTCCCAACCAAATCACTTCGT